ACTTGAAGATGAAGGCTGCAAGATTCTCTTCGATCCTTCCCCTGTTAATTTTGGATAATTAACGGGTTTAGGGAGATATGTTCTACCTTCTAGGCATATATTAAAAGCAATTGCAACTCTCTTGATTCCAAATATGTTGTTGCTGATGGAGATGTCTTCTGGGAGCCTCAGCCAATGGCTAATGCTGTTAGTGTTTTTCATCTAAGGCCGGGCTTAGTGGGATCTCTCAACTCTTCAGCACTTATGGGGCGGTTCCTTTGAACTGAACAAATAGGCCTTGTTACCTAGCGCATTGTCCTTCAGTTGTACATGCATGGGAATTGTGAGCTTTGTTCTCATATAGATATAGGCTCTAATGGTTTTGCTGAAAAAAGGGGGCTTAGGATTTTTCGATCTAAAAAAGTTTGTGTGATTCCTCTGCACGACTGCACCTTTTATAGTGGAAAGCGGAAGCTTTGTTTCTCGTCCCTTTTACATTGGATACAACCGTTATCCCTAAAATAACAAACAAATCTGGTGAAGGAATTTGAAGGAATGGATACAGATTGGTTTGGATTCTGTTTCTATTTTATTATATAAACAACTGATTAAAGTTGTTAGAGAGGCTTCGTGAGGGTACTTGAGAAAAAAAAAAAATTAAATTATTGATAATAAACAAGCAATTAAAACTCCCGAACAATTTAAAGAAGAAAAAACTCCAAAACAGGTTAAGGATGGTATCTGATGAGGGATAATTTGGCCCGTCCAATGATATGATGACAAGTGGAGCGCTGCAATGGGTTGGCAATATTTCAGCATCCTCGGACACCTCAGCCGTCTTAGTCACCTCAGGCACCTTGGGTCACTCAGCCAAGACCAAGGCTCGAGCATCTTGCCATACTCACCGACATGCCGAGGTGCCACGTAACCTCTTTCTAGAAGTGAGCCAGCTGTCTCTGATCTCCTCCAAAATCACGTCGCATGCCAATGGATCTTATCTTCATCTTGCCCGAATCGGATGGACCTAGATAAGCCTTATTAGCTTACTCGAAATCTATCTTTGGGTGCAGAACTGACTCCGAGTTAGATGGGCCGGTGATCGTGAACATGCATCGTGAAGTCCACGGTAGCTCGCCTATATAAAAGCTTGGCCTCTAGCCTCATAAGGTACGCACGATTTAGCTCTCACAATCTATTATTTTAAAGATATAAACTCTCTCAAAATCTCCTTCAATAACTTAAGCAGCAGACTGCCCACATCAAATAAAACACCCCATAATACTCTAATCTTCTAGTCTTGCAGTTGGACCCAGCCACGAAACAATCGAACATCCGAACTGCCTTCCAGCAGAAAGCAACCGAATCGCGCATCATTAATATCAGAACCTCCTTGACCAAGTGATCCAGTGATGGATCATATTCGCCCCCCATTAGAATGGCCTCTTGGGTCCATCTCTTCTCTTGCAATAAAACATCACAGGGCTGCCCCATAGAATATTGCATCTATGATCTAACGGTACCCAATGAAAGCTATTCATCTCTCCGGGCTCATTGTATTTGCATGACTGGGTACAGGGTACATCAGCCCATGAATGCTCATGAGTCATTATGATGATGAAGGGCAGAAGCAGACACGACCTACCATTATTTGATGGACCTTACTTACATTGGGCCCTTGTTATTCGATGGACCTGCCAAGTTTAAAGAAAAGCGTACAATAATCCAGCTAGAATATATTATCTGTGAGTATAATGTAGGATTAGTAAACCATGCATAAGGACGGCTAACCTGGATGAGATAAGCTGTACAACTCGACAAGGACTATTTAGTTGTTATTATATTATTATGCAGTTAAATTTAACTAGCAATCACAAAAAAAGAATTATAATATGGATTAATCCTTTTCTATTATAAGGCCTTCCTTATAATAGAGTATTGAGGTTTCAAGTTGAACCTAGTCCCTATGTTAGGAGGTTTCACAGGAAATAAGAGGGAAACAGAGTATTGAGGTTTCAAGTAAATCTGGATCAAATTAATTTCCTGGAGAAGAGCTCTAGTCTTGAGCACCTCTATTTTGTAAGAAATTGCAACGCCAACACTTTACCATGCATGATGAGGGGTCAGTTCCGAGAATCTTAGCACCCAGTATAGTTGGCGCAATGCAGATTCCAAACCTCTGGGATGTTTATTGATGGCAGAGAAAGGCTCAGGAAATGCATCTCTTTTCATTTATCTGTTTCATTAAGTATTTGGAGATACTTTACCACTTGGCTTTTTTTTTTTTTTTCTCTATTGACAATCCCCCCTTCCTCCTTTTAGCTAGTGGGACTTTAAAAAAACAATACAAAATGCAGCAATTGAGCAAAACTCTTAGTAATTGATCTCCGTTCCCTCGTTAATTTTCTTAGCCTTGTTTCACTCTCCTTCTACCTTTTCTTTTTTCATTTTCATGCAAAACCCCCGTTGGAGAACGGAGATGTTCTAAATTGTAATTTGCAATTTTGGTACGAGAAAGAAAATGCCTTGTTCTCCCTTTTAGTGAGCATAGTGGATCAGTCAAAGATGTAGATGTCATGCAGAGTAGGTCAGTGGCCGATGGATGCTATGCCATCCGGTCAATTAATATTCCCCTCTTTTTCTTTTGGAAGACTCTATTTGATTCAATGTTTAAAAATTAATTCAGAAATGGAATCACTTTTGCCACCGGTTTTTGGGTTAATGAATTATCTTCTGATTTGAATGGATCAGCTTATACTGTTTTAAAAAATTTAAAAATACAACAAATTAGCCCAAAAACCTTTGTCCGGATCATATGGATTGATGGTTTAATTGCCCGGATCAATATGTTATTGACCAATTCGATAGCTTTTAGAAAAATAACAATTGGACTGAAATAAAACTAATACATTAACTGGATTTAGTAAGAACGGTCTAACCATCCGGATCAACCTTGCTTTAGCTGATAAAAGGATTACAAGTCAAATTGTAAACTAAAGCAGTGAGCAGTTTCCTTAGTTGAAACTTAAATTCAATAATAGACACAGCCACAGGCAAGTCCCCACAAACCGGTTCTGGTTCTGGGAATTAAAACCGACAGATCGGTTCCAGGTTTTGATATAGGGTCCTAATTACTATTAGTTTGGAATCGGTTTTATCTAATCCCAAATCGATTCAAACCAGACCTGATATATAAAATATATTTATTTTTTATTTTTATTTATTATAATCAAATCTGTCAAATCAGACCCAATTGTACTGTGAACTGATCAATCCGGTTCCGGATCCAAAAATTACAAACACTATTGGATCTGGATACTCAACATTTCATTTTGGTCGGTTCCATTTCTAGCTGATTCCGGCCAAGACCCGACCCGTTGGTAGCCCTACCCACAAAGTCCGTGTGATGTATGATACTATACACTTTCAGTTTGTAAGATTGGAACGGATTAGACAGTTGGACCTTGAAAATCGGAACCGGTATGCACACAGATTTCAGTAAAATAGCAGCTTTGCAAGTTGAACCGGCTAACTACTTCTTAGTTAACCGTTAAATCAGTGAACAGTTGAACATTCTGGTTTTTAATCGGTTCGAATCTTAAAAAATTGTTTATGATTCCGGTGAGTTATTTTTCTGATATCATATATTTTTCATATCATAATCTAACCCGAAACTGTTTATTAATAACGTTCCCCTAATAGTATTAGTATTTAGTAGTAGGTAGAGAATCAAAACAAGTAGCACGGCCCGGCCTTAAGGGTGATGCATCCGCACCGTTGGCGTTGGGTCGTTGTGGTCATTGGTGGACATAATTCCATTGGTTGAACGAGATTAATCAAATGCTCAAACCCCATCGCCTTGATTTCTATTGCCCTGTACCAATCATCAGCTACGTTTATGTCCAAAGAACAAGAACCCTAAAAAAATATGCATACATGACTAGGGTACTAAATTCCCTCGTCGAGGATTTCATTCTGCTGCATTGTTATTTTTCGCCCCCTATTTTCCTATTCCAGGGCAGGGACTGTGTTCGTGAAGAAGAATAAGTACAAAGAAAAAAAAAAAAGAAAAGGAAAAAAATTAGAAATGAATAGCGCAAAGAGCCAAGGACGGAGGGGACCTTGACGGAACGTTGCGGTATGGTGATACATTATGGTCAACTACCCGTCCACATCGCTAACCCCACCACAGATGTTTGCATTACTCCTTTGCATCAGCTAAAACGGACGGTTGCCCAATCCCTTACGTTTTCCTGTCAAGACCGGCGTTACGCTTTGTGTTTGTGGCCCGGAATTTTTGTCCTCACGCCATTGTGTTATTCCTCATAACACGACAAATTTGTACTCGCCAAACAGTGCCCACAAAAAAAAAATAATTATTTTCAAATATTAAAAACTTCGAAACGTCGCTTTCCTCTTAAAGTAATATTCTGATATGACAAAACTGTCCTTCCCACTAATCCAATTCCAACCACAATGAAAAGTCCAGCCCCACTAGTAAGATTTTCGTGTTACATTTCATTTCTTACCATAATATGCAACACAAGCTATGCTATGCAAGATTTCTTGCTAAAAAAGTAAAAAAAAAACTAAAAGCTCTGCTAATTGAGCCTCTGGGGGGTTCAACACTTGGGCATTTGGCGGATTTGATTCCCCATTTGGTTGGGGTCATTTTGATTTGCCCCTTTTTCACTTGGCGGCTTGGCGCCCACAGTTTACGGTGTTTATTAACATTTTTTGTAAAGCTTGGTGGTTAACAACAAAACAAAACAATCCAACGTCCATGCCTTTGGGCTTTTGAGCTTTGGTTGGTTCATCAGAGTGGCCCACCCACCCTCACTGGATCACTGGATCATGTATTTTCAGTCCGGGAAGAAGGGTGAATGTGTAATTTGAACAACTTACAGAATCCTCGCGTCTCGAGTGGTTTGTAGCTTTCTCACCTACCACCCTGCCACTCTCTCTGTCTCGCAAGGTCGCAAAGTCGCAACCCCCCAAAACCCCAAGTACGCAACCATTAAAATGACCCAACGATATGAGGTGGCTAATAAGCCAAATACCTCCCTAAATTACTATACTGCCCTCCATTGTTTCGAAACCAGACAGAAAATAAAAGAAACAGCAATGGATCCCAGAAGACTGAAAATTACACATAGAAACAATAACAGAAGAGAAATTCAGGTTTCCTCCTCTCGAAATTCAAATACAATCCCTAAGTTAGACGATTTCATGCTCGAACTTGAATTGTCCGCCGATTCGTTCAAACCAGTCACCAAGAAATTCAAAAAAGGAAGGTGATATAAAGGAAACCGGGGAAAAAACAGCCTATAAAAAAAAGGGGAGGAAAAAAAAAAACAAAGAACTGGATGGAACTATGGAGGCATCAAAATTCCTATAAAATTTCTATCTTTTTCTCTATCTGTCTCTCTTTTTTTTTCTCAGTGTACTTGCTGCTAATCCTGAAACCCAGTCTTCTCCCAGATTGCGTTTCTGACCCTACTCAAATCCCTACCTTTCAGGGTTCTCCCGATCCCTTCATGAACAGAGAAGGAAGCAGTTCGGGTCCTCGCAAATTGCCTTGCTAGGAATTCGTGTGGAGGAATCCTGCTGTCTTCAGAATCCTCGTCTTCGTCATCAAAGTTGTCGTTGTTCTCTCTTCTCCGAGTGTCCCTGTAATCCTCCCTGAGGATCTTCGACCAGTCGGGTATGTTAACCGGCAACGACGTCGAAGTTGCAGTTGCTCCACCACCCCGATCAGCATTCTCGACCCTTTTCCCCGATTTCTTCGCTGCACGCACATTGGTTATCGGTTTCTTCAACTCAGGCGAGGCAGCGTGATTCAAATTCCACAGGTCGGCTTCGTCGAATTCGAACATGGTATCGGAACTAATCGTTTTATCTTTATCCCCGCCGATAAATCGATAACTGGGTCTGGCGAGGTAGCTCTTCCTGGCTGCCATAGTAAAAAATTTTCAAGAACTAATACGGTGGCTCTGTCTTTTTGCCCCTTCTCTATTCTGAGCCTCTGAGAATTTCTCCCTTCTTTATATTCTTCGTTTTGCTAATTTGCTCTGCTTTTATAAAAGGTGTAAACGGATAAGGTTGTCCCTTGGCCTTGACTCCCTTCCGCCCTTCTTCTCTCTGTTATAACTTCGTTTATGTAAAGTTACTAAAAAACCCATAGAATTCTACGGATATGACACGTAGGATTTATGATTTATCCATTCAAGGCGCGATAATCCGGTGCATCTCATCCTGATTTCATTTCCATTGCTAGAGCCTGCCTAGAGTGCCAGAGGAATTGAGTCAGTCTGGACTCTGGACCTACCACCTAATAATACGCGGAGAATCCAAACCTTCCCGTCCAACGACAACCACCAGATCTCCCGTAATCTCTGTGGTTGTTTGATAAGATCTATCTTCAATCCATTTAATTGGTAACTAACGCTGTCTCCTTTCTATCAGTATTTGCCAAGTTATGGGCTTCGCTGCTCTGCGATTAAGATCAAGGGATAGTACCACGTCACTTGGAGCAATTTGATTTGACGACGTGTAGCGTGTTTCGGTTGAGATTATAATTAGTTCAGGTTTTCTGACCATACGAGGCCATTTCAGTAATTTTAACAGCGTTTATGGCTACAGAGCCAAGATTCAAGAACTTCTTTCTTTCCTCTGTTTTTTACCCTTCTTTTTCATTCATCGGCTCAAAATTTGTCGCGACGCGGAGGACGGTTCACCTGGTTCTAGGTAGAAAGGGGAGGGTGTGGTCCCGTTGAGGCGATCGAGATGGAGACACGTGTTAATTACTCAAGCTGAATCACACGTGTCCATATAAACTTCGAAGAAAGGGGGCGAATGGGCACGTGAAGTAGGACCTATGCTCGGATCTAGCGCGTGTCGACAGTTGTATCTGGGCCTACTTTTTGTCCTTTCAAATTTAATTCAATCAATCTCCAATCTCCTCAATTTCTCGTCTCTTTGGATCTGCTTATATATATATATTTAAATATTAAATGAATCCATAATTTGTTTAATCGGCGACGAGTTGAAATCCATGACTATTAACTTGTTTACACTTTACACTTGCTTTTTTATATTTCCATCGATCGTACGCGTGACAGATAAAAATACCAAATCCCCCCTAATATGCAATAATCGTGGAGGCTGGAGCTAATAGCCTAATACTAATGGACGACCATTCTTTCTTCCTCAAAATTTCCAAGAAAAACAGAGGAAGAAACTTCTCTAATTTCTAGTTGGGTCGTCCATATATCCGTATATGTAATTTCTAGATCAAACTATGTTGCGGATGTGGATGTGGATCCTTCCTGGAACATTGACCAAACTCACGATGAACTTCGATCTAGTCTAGCCTGTAGAGTCACCAAGAAAAAAGAGTTGGATGACTTTCAGACATAGTAGTTCTCTAATAAAATATTCTCTGCTCACATATAACGACTATATATCAAGGAAACAAGTATCATGGTATAGGCCCCACAGTTTACCATCCGTCCCTCATTGGAATGATCATCAACCGCCCCATTCGGTGGGTCCCCACCATTTATGTTAACTACAAAATAGAATCATTACAGAAATTTGTTTTTCCCGCAGATGTTCGCATGGTGGAGAAATTTTGTCTCGAAATTCCTTTAAAGACTTTTAGAGAGAGGTGCATATATCAGAAATGGAGAGAATCATTCGATCATGGGACATGGCAGTTTTTCTTTTGTTTTTTTTTTTTTTTTTTTTTTTTTTTTTTTTTTTTTTTTTTGGCGCAAGCACTCTCTTACGTATCCCATCCAAACAGCATGACAATTTGGAGAAACTCCAACTGTGGGCCCAAACCCAATACACTATACTGTTTCCTCCATTCAAAGAAGCTGTGTCCACAACGTAAGTAGTAAGGACCAGAGTAACTGCCCATCAAAACAAAAATGCCAAAATGGACTAGAATAGCTAGTCTATCAATGGTGGGCCCTATAAATTGGGTTTTAATTCGAGTCCGGATCTCTGCCCATACCCACATAACACAGCATTCATATATGAAGAACATTTCATTTACATGGGAAATGTTCTCAATGCACGTAGATAATGTATTGTTAGTAGAATTCGGGTAGGCAGGAATATTATTTCAGTTGTGAAACTGGTAACTAACTAAAATGACCCTAGTGGAAAAAGATAACCTGCCGAACCTAGGTAATCCTTTTTGATGGTTTTCTGTTTTGAGAAACAGAAACCATGTGGAACATACGTGTGGAACATACGTGGGTTGATGAGACTTATTTGCCTGCTAGAGGTTTCTTCTGTCCAACCTAATTAATGAGATGTAGAATAAACAATAAACTATAAATACATATTTTATTTTGGATTCACTATCCACGTCCCAACTTTTGAACTATTCAGCAGGGTCATGAAATTAACAAATATACCATTAACTCCGTCGAATTTTTTTATGAAATGAGAAAATAAAATATATTTGATTTTTATTAATAGACATGAGCTATTTTTGTAATTTGAGTTAATTATATATTATTTTGAATTAAAATCTATTTTACACTTTTTTTAAGTGGGACACTTAGGCCACGTGGCTCTGCATGCCTTTTATTCCTAAGTGGGGATATGGTGGCATATATGATTGAAAATTCTCTTATCTAAGGCTCCGTTTGGTTTGTGGAATGGGATGAGAAAAAGGGAATATTTTAAAAATATTTTTTTTCTTTCATTTGTTTTGAGGGAAATAGAGGGATGGGATGAGAAAAAATGTGGGATGTCAGATCCCAAATCGTGGATTTGGGGTCGCACCAAAATCGTACGACCCCGATGGAAAAATTTGAGAAATCACTGTTACAGGTACCAGCGACGTCGAACAGAGGAGGGAGAGAACCAGTGCCTTCCCCATTACCATTAGCGATCTGTTCGAGGGGCAAAGGAGGTGACGGTGGCAAAAATCCAGTGCGAAGGGCAGCGACTATCTGCTACCTCCCCTTCCCCGTTCGATCTCAGAAGCAGAGCAGCGGTGGCCACACCCCCTCTCAGCCACTCCCTTCCTCCCTCTCAGCCACTCCCTTTCGTTGTTTGGTTTTACAGGCACGTTCAAGAACTTGAGACTGAGAAGCGTAGGAAAATCAAATGGGAGGTTACCGTTCATGGCGTTGTTAGAGATGTCCAGGTACTGTAACAAGCGAAAGTTGGTGATAGGCTTGGCGCTCCCTGAAATATTGCAACTTGAGAGGTTGAGAGACATGAGCTTCACGAGCTTCTCCAACCAAAAAGGCAAAACTCTGAGATCGTTATGCGACAGGTTGAGCACTTCCAAGCTCAAGAATCCTGAAAGAAGCACTTTGGTGAACCTATTGTGCGAAAGATTGAGCTTCTGAATTGACGACAAAGAGGAACCTGAAGTGTTTCTCGACATGGGCTCGAAACCAATATTGCCTCCAAGTTGATTCATTGCGAGATTGACTTCAAAAAGGCTCGGCATAGACCAAAACCCAACTAGAACAGACCCTTTCAGTGAATTGTCTGAGAGATCAATATATTGCAACTGCGTCAAATTCCGAAGAAAATTCCATAAAACAGATCCATTCAGATTTCTCGAGGGAAGCCTTATTTCCTTAATTGGAGGATTCAAGCAATCCCCATCCCTAGATTCCAACAGCGAGATGTCAAATCCAGTTACGGAGTGAAAGGCTTTCGAGATCAACTCCCTATCAGTAGTATTGCAACTAGATTCCACAAAAACTACAAGAAGAGATAGAACGAGCACAACCTTGCAGAAGAGTTCCATTACAAAATCTTACTCGTTTGATTTCTCAGTATCGTTTCAAGTTTCAAAAGCCATGGATTTGCTTGTGTAGGGAGAGAGAGAGAGAGAGAGATTAGACGAAGGTGCAAAGCTTCTGCTCTTCCCACAAGAGTTGCGCTTGTTGGTTGTTGCATATATTCCTTGAATATTTTTATTCAACAGTAATTGACCAGAGAACCAGTGCTTTCCGCCGACAAACTACTATCTTCCTCTTGGTGAAATGGTGATTTTCCATTATTTTCCCATATATGAAACCAAACAATGGAAGTGTAAATTTTTACACTTTCCCATCCCACCTAAATCTTCCAACAAATCAAATGGAGCCTAAGGGATTTCCTGTAATATATTCACTAGTTAATGGCCACCCGGCCCCAATATTGAGTATATATAGCGTACTCATATATAAGGGGGCATTCTTCTTCTTCTTTTTTTTTTTTTTTGGATTTTGGGAGGGGAAAAAGTTGGTAAATGGGATTTTGATTCCTATTGACCAAGAAACTTATATTTCTTTTGGGAAAATTTATGATATGGAAAAGATATGATATAGAAAGAGGTTTGACCAATCAAAACCCACCCATGAATTTTGATAAATCACACCTGATTGGCTACCAAGCATGTTTATGATTTTAGTTAATTGGTTAGTTGTTTTTCAGATATCATACCTTTTCCATATCATAGTCGAATCTTTTTTTTTTTCAGATTTATGTGGGGATCAGGGAAACTTCATTTTCTTGGATGGGTAAATAACTTTTCCACCTAGAGAAAAATTGTCAATACTTGAATGGAACAAATTTAAATGCCCCTTTTAATAATGGATTTTTATGACTAAAACAGTTATTGTCTTATTTACCTGAAAATAAAAGAACATGGATAAATACAATTGCCCAAGTAATTGTTACCCAATAAACACTTAGCCAAGTAAACACTTGAGTGTTATCTTTAATTAGCAATCCAATTTATATATCCCATGGTAAATATATTAGACAAGATAAATAATTCACGCATTCAGCTAGGGCTCTGTTTAGACAACCTTCTAGTTTTGAGTGTTGAACTATAAATGATAAATTTAAGACAAAAAAAAAATTGTTTGGTAAGAATTGCTTTTAGATAAACTATAATATGAAGGTAGAACACTTTTGAGCTCCAAATAAATAAAAAATAAATAAAAAGGCGTGAAAATGGGCCTCTATACTTATAGCTAGACTTTAAAGGCCAGATATTAACGTTTATTCAAGCACAACCTAATTTATC